TCCGACGTGGGGTGGTGGACCCATGGGATTCCAATCCCCAAATCTCCGTCGAACTGCATGCGCTCGACCAAAATGGTGATGCGTTAGGTAACGTTATCAACTTGTCACGGCGGTTTATCTCCACGAAGGTTGATCGCAACACGACTGGTGGGTGAATTCTGCGTAGTCTGATGAGGATCTGCCCTCTCCTTCCGGATTTTGCTACGGAGCACGAGCCGGTGCGGCATTATCAACATGACAGGCCAGCTTGGACGTTGTTGAACAGTTCATGAAGTCGAGACAGAGGTGATACAGCGGTAATTCTTTCCCTGCGTACGGACGGTGTAACGGGATTGAGACGATAGGTAGGTCCCAAGTGCCGGTGCCGTCAATCAATCTCCATCACAGTTCACCGATCCAAGGCCAATGCTTGTCGGACCATTAGGGCCCAAGAAGGAGGTGTGCTTCTGGGAGGGTTGTCGAAAACGGTGTCCTCAGGCCATCCAGGTAGGCCGGATGCGATGACCAACATAAGCGTGCAGGGTAACGGTGCAGTCGTGCATCAAGCAAAGCAAATCCATCAAAAGAAAGATTGTGATCAGGGTGAGAGGCCCCTTATGTATGGATTGCCAAGAGCTGCTGTCACCATCGTCGTTGGCAGGCTCGCAATCGCCGCCCGCAATCACCTCATCTCCTCGGGGCATGTCGACCCAGGCAGGAGGCAACCCTCCCCCAGTTAAGAGCACCCACAATCAACCACATTTCTGGAATGGAGACGAACTACGGAGTCCTATTAGCCCTGTCATCGACAGATAAGCTTAAATTATTTTGATGGCGCGGCCGTTGCGTGCTGGCTGCGTTGAGTGGTCCGGTCTCAGTTGTGAGATGTCTCGGGTGATCCGCTGTCAAGCATCGCGGCAGTGAAATTCGGCTGTTGGAGGTCAGGCAGCAGCCATACCCCGTGTGAGTGCAAACATAGCAGACACACTTGGTCCCTGTGAACCCCTGGCAGACCCTGAAAGTGGCCCTGAGAGCGGCTCTAAGTGCACTCATTACAGGCATCGCATGGCGCTTATTTGAATGGAATCTACTCGATTGGACAGTAGGATGCAGGTAATCCAGAAAGGGTATTAACAGTCGCCAACCACATGCAACATTGGAAACAACCGCATGCAATAATGATATATAAAGAAACACGCCCAGACTTGATATCAGCCTAATGAACCCCTAACTCCTCTTGACCATATCCCGTGGTCATATATGCAATTGTATCGCCATGAAGCGATCTTTATACTTCTCCCTTCTTGCTATACCCCCGAATATTATATCCCTCATTCCAGCTTATCCAAATGTTCCAACCTCGTCAACACGACTTGCTTGCTTGTTTCTTCAATTTCTCCTGCAAGGAACACCTCGTCCAGAATAGCGTATACCTGTACAATCATCAGCCCATCCGTCTGCCACTCTCTTCCGATTCCAGACAATCCCAGTGACTCCCTCCACCACCCTATAGCTCACTTACCTTGTAGAAGTTGAACACCAAGTCCAGCTCACAGACGTTTCCAAAGAACTGGTCCAACACTTCGACGAAGAAATGGATCGCCTCGAGGTAGGCCAGTTCGTTGTCGGTTGCATCGACGCAGGCGCAGAAGAATAACCCCGCATATCTCCGGTAGACGACCTTGGTACTCCTCTTGAACTCGACGAAATTGGACTGGTATTTCTGGTCTCGTGGGGCGACCAGGCGATGGACCTATCCAGCATACATTATTAAATTATTCCGCGGCGGGGTGTAGTAGTACTGGTGGTAGTTGTCGGGAGGGGCATATAACGAACCTCGCCCTTTAGCTTGACTTTTTCTTCATCCTATCATAAATTAAATGTGTTAAATGACATTCGAATCTGTCCAAGTAGGGATGCACTTACGCTATACGGCGCATACCATTTTGCGAGCCGCGTCTTCCCCCTGTTCCTGCGTTAGGGGGTTGTATTTCATGCATGGAGATGGGTCATCCCGGGGGAACGCGGGGTATGACTTACTGGCGATTCTGCACCAGAATAAATGAGAGAACCATCCCGTAAGTAGTAATTGCAAGGGAGGAGACCAATGAGGGGGTTAAATCAGCAAAGCCAGAAGTGCAACGGGGGCGTCACTTGTTCTCCGCGGTGTCTCCGGCGGACAATGCGAGTCGAGACTCCATACTGCCGGTGCTGACCGCTTTGACCGTTGGGTCACCGATTGACTTTAAGCTTTCCAGATCGAATCTGCAGACAACCAGCATAATGAGATTGATTTCCATTGTTTTCACCGACTACTCGCTGGGATCTCTGGAAATCAATAGTCTCTTCTACAGTTCTTCTCTCTTTTTAATCCAGCCCAACCCTTTAAATCATTAGTCCTCTCTAGATAGGTGGTAAACCAAAGAAACAAACAAAGAATCCAACATTCGAATCCGGCCTCACGGAGAGACCCTGCATATATCATCTGCCTTTTTCTGCTCTTTTCGCCTTTTTCTCTTTCATTCTTTCCCCTGCATATTATCTATCCCATCCCGCGCTGTGCAACCAACTATTTCCCCCAACCCGAATCCGCAATGCGCAACCCCTAGACTCTCACGATCTTTTCTCTGTCTTTCTCTCTCTTTCATCCTTCTCTCCACTTCTCTCCTCACCTCGCCGAGATCCCGATCTTAATATGAACTACTCCTCCTCCCCACACTACTACCGATCACCTCATTCATAAAACATCACCTCCTCCCTTGCTTCGCCCACTCTCCTCATTTCCCACCCACCCCCCCACACACCCCCCTTCCTCATCACTACCACCAACTACCATCCAACAAATCTCTGCAGACGGCAGATTAAAATAAATAAAATGCCCGTCTACATGCTCTACGGCTTTCGCTGGCCGCGCGCCGGCTTTACCGGCATCCGCGTATACATTGTTCTCCACAACCTGGAAGATGCAACAGCCGAATACCTCCAACAGCCCCTAACCAGCGAACTGGTCATGGAATCGCTCAAAAAGACCGAACCAAGCATCGTCTCCCGCCTACCTAACCTCCGCTTCATCGAGCAATACGATCCCGAAGACACAAGCGACGACGCAGTTAGCAAGCCATACGCCTACGTCGGTGGGAAAGTCATCTCCATCCCCGAGGATGTCGGTCCTACTCCCGAGACGAGCTGGAAACCAGAGGACATATTCCAGGAGGAGCCGCTGGATAAGGACGCCATGGAGGCCTTGACGGAGTTTCGGGATAAGTATGCGGCTGGTGAGCGCATTGGCTGGTGGATTGTGTATAACGGCGATCCGGAGAGGTGGTTCCCTCACGATGAGGAGGAAGATGGGGATAGTTTCGATGATGGATACGACGAGGAGGGGAGCTATGCAGATGGTGGAGAGTATGAGAGTGATCAGACGCAGACGCCGCCGGAGACACCTTCTTCTGCTACGGTGGGTTATTCTTTTGCTTGATTTATGATGAATCTTTTGCTAACGGTGATTGCGATTGTATAGATGCGATTCCCCGAACGGTTGACTCGATTGTTTGCTAGGCGAACAGCTTGATGGCCACGGCTATGGCTATATCGCAATCCTCTCTACGGCTTATGACGTGTGCGTGGCTAGTTGCTAGCATTTTGTTTCCACCAGAAAGCGGGTTTGGGTGTTTGGGTTCGTGCATGTGGTTTCATTAGCAGTGTTCATTTTTGGCGTGATGAATATCTATCTATTTTGGTTTCGTTCCTCATCAGCGACGGTCTTTACATAGTACCGTATCCGCCCTTCTGCCAGCTAGCGTCGAAGGTGGCCTGGTCGACGGCGAACTCCCGGATGTAGTCCTTCTCCAGGTCGTGCGCTCTCTTTCCGATCAACACCAAGCTGTGCAGAGGCCGGCCCATCTCGACTTCGGCCAGTTCCTTCAGGGTACCAGCAACCAGCTTCTGGTCCGCGGCACCCACACGGGCCGCGCCGACAGCAAGACTGTCCGGACCCCAGACACCTTCCTGGCGCTCCTCCTCAGTCTCCAGCATCTGACCTGCACATTGCGCAACGGTCATATAGCGAGGGGGCTCGTAGACCAAACGGCCCCGGGCCATGTTCTCCAGCGACGGCTCCTTGACCTTGATGTCTAACAGAACCAATGTGTGCAGACCCAACTGAACGTTCTCCTTGACCCGATCGTAGTAGGATGAAGGCTTCCAGTTCTCAGTGAAGAAGACCATGCTGACGGTCTGACCGAAGTTGTACAGCTGCAGACCCGTGCAGCCGATACCGGACATGATGGAAGCGTTGGGGATGACCTTGGATTCGATGCCCAGTTCGCGGGCGCGGAGGACTAGATCTGTGTGTGTGGTGGCGCTGACGGAAGTCAGACAACATGCCGATGTAGCGCCAGAGGATAGTGAACACTATACATACCCAAAGGGATCTCCAACGACGAGGAAAGCAACATCGACCTTATCGGCGTCGGCGAGAATCTCATCGCTGCCACTCTCGACCTTTTCGCGGTCGGCCTCGATAACAGGACGTCCATAGAAAGCTTCCTACTAAACCAATTTATTCCAGTTAGTCAATTCCGCACCCTAGAACACATATCTTGTAGTACTCCGTCAGGCGACACTCACTAGTTTCTCCTTATCGACGAGCAGAATGGCCGTGTATGCCTCCAGATAGACACGCTCGGCCTTCTTGACGATCTCCAGACCGCGGACCGTAATATCGGTCTCATCAGCCAGACCAAGTCCTACCAGGTAAAGCATTGTGAATGTACAATTTCAAATACCACCAATAATTGGAATTATAAGAGTGTTTGTGAATATTCCCACCAGCCGGGAAACTTTCGATATTCCCCCCACCAAATGCGGCGGAGGGCAGCCGGACATCGGATCATGTGATGATCCGGCTTATGCACTGCACCAGTCCAGTCACCTGAGGGTGTGAGATTCACGTGCACCAACCAGCATCCAGGCACTGTTTCCTTCTTTCATACTTCGCTGCTTCGAATGGATGCCACATTGTCAATATCCGTCCTATCTTGATCCTGAGTAGACTGAGATTCGGACTCCCCTTGTCAGAGTATTTGCAGTGGAGCATGCTCGATCAGTGTTCCTATAACCTGCATCATGTCGACTGATCGTACCCCCAAGTATCGGCAGGAGATCCAGCAGGTAAGCACTATTCTGATTTCCTATCTGGTCTGATGCTATGAGAATCTGTGATTTGATTCTCTTTTGTTGGTTGCGGCTGCGTGAGTCTAGTCTGTTTGTGGTACCATGCTGGCTCTATTTGTCGCTGCTGTGATAAGTGATGCTCCGCTTTATCAATGTGATCTACGGAGCTTCATTGAAGCAGCGGTAATGCATGGGAATGGTGAATTCCAGCATGCAATGGTGCTTTGCTCCTTTGCAAAAATGGGATTATAAAGGATCTTCTGACTGGAAGTGTTCTTCTACTTCTTGCCAACTCGCTTGACTGGGGTCTACTTGGATATTGCGAGTCTGCTTGTTGTTGAAGGCACTATCTACAATCATGTCTGCGGATCCCTATGATTCTGATGCTACTATCTCGTGGCATGGATGGGACCATCTGGAAGATGGCCAAATGACGACTGCACCGCCGGTGCCAGTTGTCCCAGCAATTCCAGCAGTCCCAGCGGTCCAGCAGCAGCCGCGCGATGAACCGTTGGACATGTACATGGGGATGGATGCAGAGACCAAGGAGGAGTTTAAGGAAATGCTAATTGGTTTTTCTCGCAAGATGATGTTCGTCTCTGGTGAGACTGCCGAACCGTCCGTTGAAACCACGACTCTCATTGAGGATATTGTGCGCCAGCAAGTTGTCGAAATTGTATGCTCTTTCCCCTACTATGTTGCGAACTACACTAACTACTGCAGCTCGCAAGAAGCACTGCCCTAGCGACTCGTCGCGGCGTGCGATCTATCTCTACCGATGACTTGATCTTTCTCATTCGCCATGACAAGGCCAAGGTGTCGCGTCTCAAGACGTTCCTGTCCTGGAAGGATGTCCGCAAAAACGTCAAAGACTCCGACGACAAAGGCGGCGCTGATGCAGCAGACTTCGCAGGAGCTGATGACCCCATTGCCGGCGGAGTCGTCGCAGGACCGCAGGATGTTGCGTCAAAGCCCAAGAATAAGCGTGCTCGCGTTGGTCTCGCCTGGGACGTGAACAGCTTCTACTCGGTGCAGGTTCCCGAACGCGAGGACGAAGAAGATGAGGAAGAGGAGGAGCAGAACTACGCTACGCTCCAGCGCCTCGCCGCGGCCGACGAACGTACCAAGAATATGACCAAGGAAGAGTATGTGTTCTGGTCAGAATGTCGCCAGGCTTCGTTCACATACCGCAAGAGTAAACGGTTCCGCGAGTGGGCTGGGTTCGGCATTGTGACTGAGTCCAAGCCCAACGACGATATCGTTGATATTCTTGGTTTCTTGACGTTCGAAATCGTGCAGACTCTGACCGAGGAAGCACTCAAGGTCAAGGAGCGGGAAGACCGCGAGAAGAACCGTCGTGGGGGTGGTGAGAACGGCGAGAGCAGTAAGAAGCGTACACGCGAGACTGGATTGTTCGATCCCCCTGAGGAGGGTCGTACCCCGGTTGAGACCAGACATATTCGCGAAGCGTATCGGAAGCTGCAGGCGACTCCTAATAAGAACATTGCCATGCTGCTGCACAATGGACGCCTGCCGGCTAAGATGCCATTGCGATTGGTAGGTTCATACCTGATATTGGATATGGTGGTAGATGCTAACTGTGACAGATTTGAGGAATTATTGGCGTTAGCGATGGCGTGGGCGTCACTTTAACGATACCCTTGGAGTTACGATAACATGATTTCTTATTCTTCGGTGCTCTTGGTTGAACTTGGTTGGTTCTATTGATAATCAGGTTGATGGACTGGTCCTTTGGAATTGACTGGTCCGGATTGATCTTTTGGAGCTTTGGGAATCATGTTAATGGATGGGATGTTTCTTTTGTTTCTCTTTTGTCAGGTGTTACTTGATTGAACATCTTGTATGAACATCTTGTAACACTAGTTGTTTACCTTCGTCTCGTTCGACCGGTCTACTCGATTGAACTTGTTAGTTCAGCCTGGCGCTGTTTCCATACTCGTTCTCTTGTTGACTGGTCCTACTTGACTGAACTGTCTACTTGCAGCTTGAAGCTAGCACATAATTCAATGATTATCTTGCAGTCCTACAACTGACATAATACCGATCATATCTCATAGCCCATATCAACCACCCCCACAGACTTACTCAGGATGCGTCCGTCTCCCTATAACCCAACCAGTTAGCAACCACCCCAACCCAATCCATCCCCGAAGGATAAGAAAGGAAAACTTACACTCATCAAACTCCGCCCTCCCCACCTCCCTAATACTATTAACAGCGGGCACATCCCCCCTAGCGACACTCTTCACCGTCTCGACCGCGCGTCCAATAACCCCCTTCCTCGAAACCGCATACACCGCGGTCTTCGCCTCCAGCTTAATCACCCCGATCCGCGGATCCTCGGGCCCACCATCATGCACTCCATCGCCCAAATCGCCCAACCACGCCTGCAGCGCCGGCGAATAATACTTCTTGACGGTCTCCTTATCAGCCACGATACTCGCCGTGCCGGAGATAGACGCCCAGGACCCGCTGATGGGGTCGAGGAAGGACATATTGGTCTCTGTGGGGTGGGCGGTTAGGTCCATGGTTTTGTGGCTGAAGAGGTTCGTGTGGAAGATTAGGGTCGTGTCGCCTTTTTCCTATACATTCATTACATTTGAATTAGTCATATGTTTTATTGTTATTATTCTCTGGAAAGATATGAATGGGGAATGATGGAGGGTTTACCTTCCCAGCAAGAGCCATACACCGACTCGTGAGCAGATCATCCTCCGAGGACTTTGTCGTCAACATGCCGAATTTCTGCTCTGTGATGAAGGTGGATAGGTCGGTGATCTTTTGGGAGAGTGGGATGTCCTCGTCGAGGGATTTGGCTTTGTAGGGGTCTAGGGGCTGCGTGCCGCTGGTGGTGGTGGGGATTGTGGTGGACATTTTGTTGCTTTGTTTTTTTTTTGGTTCTTTGGTTGTAGCTTAGCTGTTGGGTAGAAGGTTGGTGTAGTTAATTGTAGGATGGATTGTAGGAGAATGAGGAAGAGTGTAGGAGCTGCAGTGGTGGATCTTTATATGATATAGTAGGAGGATGGCGTAGAAGTGACGTCAGGAGGTGGTAGTACTGCTACTACTATCTTTAGCAGGGTTGATGGATGTGGGATGGTGTCATGGTTAGATTGATGTCAGTGGTGACGATCGTACCTTGTAGCATAGTAGTAGCATAGCATTGGGGGTGCAAGCCTGGGGTAAATACTTTGAGTGTGTTGATTAGTGCTGGTGGTGGTTTTGGGATGGGGAGTCCCGTCCCGGGTATACAAATGTGGTGGTGTGTCCATTGGATGATCGCGGGATCATTCTTTGGATTGTAGTTAGTTTATAATTGGTAGACATATTTACTATATAATTAGTATCCATGGTTATGAAACATACTTTAGTTGATTGTGTGGTGTTGGGTAAATAGGTATAGCGGCTATTATATATCTTGGTGACTTCATTGTATGGCCTCATGTCAGCTCCAAATGGTCAAGCCCATACTATTACTCGTAGGATCGAGAATAAGCTACGTGGAATATAGTTGAAGTCAAGTATGTGTCATCACTCATTAACAGTATATAACTAGTAGTAGCTCACACATAACTATACCACAGCGTCATCTGCAACTCCTCCAACCGTCGCAACCCTCCCGACACCCGCCCCAGCGCATCCGTCAGGAACGCACTTCGCGTCGACCCCGGCTCGGGAGCCGACCACGTCGTCCACCCCCGCGACATGGCTCGCTGGAACGTAGTCTCCGCATGAGTGTCCGGTCCCAACGGCGCCAGCTCCACCACGGCCTCCGGCCCCAATGATAACAGGTAATTGATCCATTCATGCAGCACAATCATGCCCTGATTGCGCTCCTGAGAAAGGCCGGCATTCTGGAACACGCCGAAGCGGCGGGCACGCTCGGTCTCACCGCGCAGGAATCCCAGCATGTACTTCAGACACGTCCATACCTCGTCCATGTCTTGCATATCGCTCACTGAGAGGCCTCCGGCATTGCCCTCTCCGAATCCCGGCGGAGGGTCGAACAGGATGCTGGCTACGTCCTTGGGGTCGGGACACGGCTGGAATGGGGATCCGGTTTCCCCACGCAGCCAGCTGACTTGTCCGTCCATATCTGTTTCTCTGCCAGTCTGCATCCCGAAGAGGAAGCAGAAGGTCCAGACGCGCCAGATGGCATTGTCTAGCCGGCGGGCTTCTGGACCGGATGGACGAGCAAGCGCAGTGTATGAGCTGGTGCGCATGACTCCCCTGCAGTGGGTCATCATCAGGCCCTTGAGGGTGGCGAGGGCGCGGAGATCGCGGGTCACTGCACGGTAGTAGATCGTTGCAGGGGATAGATCCTGCGAATCTGTGTTTTCATTGATATCACTTATTTGACGGAGTTCCCATGCTGCAGGGGATCTGCGTCTAATGGTGTTCTCCATCAATGGGAGCTCGTGGCGCTTGAAAACGTGGTAGATGGCTTTGCTGGTTTGAGCGAAAGAGAAGAGGTCATCCAGATCGTCGATCTGGAGGAGGACATTCAAAATCATGTCTTCCATGCCAGGCTTGGAGAGGCTCCATCGGTTGGATACCATGCGCTGCAGGTCATCGTCCAAGGCGGCCATGACTGCGGCGAATGGCGGAACGGAACTGCGTGGCTCTGATATTTGATCAGGCGCAGGACCTGCGAAGAAGCGCACCGAGGGTGCACCTTCAGTGAAGGCTTCATCCTCGTCATACCCAACGTATTCCCAATTGCTTTCAGTGTCATCACCTAACGTAGGCCGTCGAATTGGCTTGTCAAACAGCTGGCTCATCGGCTGGTCAACCGGCTGATCGACTGTCTCAGGATCATGGAAATCTTGGGGAGGGAGTTCGCATGTGTGGTCCGGGGGCAGGGAGGAGTGTGAAGCGGGTGGGGGTGAGTTAGAAGGTGCAGTGTCGACACCAAGAAGTGGCTCGTTCTGAACCCGCGTGAAAAGCGATCGGAGAAATTGCTGATTGGATTCTGCTTGCAGAATCATATCCATGGTATACCCATCTTCGAGCAAGCTCGCGAGGACATTTTTCATTCGCTTTATGGCGTCCTCATAGTGACCGTCATCTTCCTTTCCGTCAAGGAAGCCCTGACCATTGTCCTCCGGTGGACGCTGAATAGGTGGTATCGTCGACATGCGAACAATGATTGATGCTCTGCGGACATTCTGGTACTTGTTCTTCTTCGTTTTGCTGTGCTTGAGCGCCCCACCATCGTGGGAAACGGCTTTACGGGTTAGGACACGCCGTACACCTGCCTTCAATGACTGCCACAGGGGCTTTTCGTCACTTTCTGGCTTCAGTTCCTGTTTTGACGTCTTCTTCACAGGCTGCTTCTGCTGGATATGCAGGTCCGTCGGACTTGAGGGTTTCGGCTTATGACCGTAGCCCTGATTGTTGGGGGCGGGCGGCAATTGTTCAGCTTTGATACCAAATATTTGCGGCCACTCAGGAGCATCCCTGGGCCCTTTCCCGGCCGCTGAAGAGCCGATATACCCTGGCGCATTCTCATACCTAAGGTTCGAGGCCGCGCCTGTATCCGGAAAAGTCACTATAGGTCGCGGGGTGGTGGGACGGGCCGCTGTAGATCGGGGCGTGGAGGGCTGAATGGTAGGTAGAGGAGTCACTGGTCTGGGGGTGGTAGGTCGAGGGGTTGCTGGTCGGTAAGTCATAGACGGGGGTGTCATAGGCCGCGATGTCGCAGCGAAGGGTGCTGCTGGGGGAAGAGGTGTTGTAGGTCTGGATGTCGAAGACACTGGCGTCAGAGGACGTGGCGTTGTAGGCCGAGGAACTGCACCATAGGGCGCTGCATGAGGTTGAGGTGTGGTTGGTCTGGACGTCGAAGATACAGGAGTTATAGGACGGGGCGTCGTGGGCCGGAGTGCTAACGGCTGAGGCGTATAGCTCGTAGGGGACTCTCTGAGAGAGCTTTGCCCGCCACTTGATCTACCAGATCCTCTCGAATGCGCATTGCCACTTACTCCAGGAACGGGGGGTAGAGGCTTGAACCTCCACTCGGACGCTGATGGCGAGCGTGTCGCAGAACTCGCGCTAGATGTGTATGAATAGCATGGGCTGGGTGGGCCATATTCATCGGCTCTTGTCTTGGGTATGTGTAGATGTGGCACAGCCAATCTGTCTGCTGAGTCCCATGTCGTTTCCAATCCCGCGAGGAGTAGTTTGTCGTCGACGTCTGGGGCCGGCATTTTCAATTGCTTTTGTTGGGTGCGACCCGCGCTATCTTCAGTGTGATCCTCAAGAATGTCGTTTGGGAGAAAATAAAGAGTAGACCTGGAGGAGGCGAGGCTGTCCACTGACTTTATGCCTTGTGGGTTGCTGAACGGGGCGCGTGGAGGGGCTATTGGAGATCTGCAGCGAATGGGTGCATAGGGACCCGAGGTATAGTCGGACATGGTATGCAGGGCGATCATGTAGAATCACCGCTATAGGTCCAGAAAGGTCCAGAAAAAAGGTCATAATAGTTTGGGGAGGACGGACAAGGGTGATATACGTCGCAGCCTGCGGATGACATACCCCTGGGACCCGGTTTCGACTGATACGCAAGCCCACCAGGGCTTGAATCCTGAAAGCCATCGGCTTTGGGTCCATAATGTTTTGAATTTAGTCACAGGGCCCACGCGAACCTGCGGTATCAGCAAGCCCAGAAGCTAGAACCTGGCCATGGAAAAGGTGCCTGCGAGAGCATAGCCCAACCAATGACCAGGCAACCGGGGCACAGGCAAGCACAAGTGCTATGCTGACGGAGGATCAGCTAGCAGGGGTCGTGGCAGTGTTTGGAGCATGTTGACTGAGAAAGGCAACACAACAACACGGTCGCTGGAGCACTTGTGTGCTTGGAGAAACTAGTTCGCGATGGCGTTGGGGCCAAATCGCGTCAGAATCTGCGAGGAACCCGGATTGCGACGAACGCGACACTGAGTAGTAGTTAGTGACTCCCCAGCTTGATAGCAGATTTGAGCATCAGACTCACTCTGAGCATAAAGAATCGCATAGCGAATAAATTTTGGTGGATGTGTTGAGAAAATGTCCAAAGAGGCAACGGGAGAGAAGAGAGTTGGAGAAGGGGCCGAAAAGAAAGACGGATGAAGTTCTCTCGCAAAGCCTCCCTTCCACCTTCAACTTCCGCCCCCAGAGACGATCCAACTTCATTTCCGCTTCAGCCGACCCAGAAGCGATTATTTTACAACATAGCCATGTGGCAGAGCCCACCGGTCCAGACACATCAGGGAGCAGATCGTTCCGTTTCCCAGCTGACATCAGATGTTGTTCTCTCAGGGGAAGTGTTTCATTTGGGGCGAAAATTCCCACCAGAAAACCTTGCGAGGAGGGAAATGGCTCAGAGAGAAGAGAGTAGAGAGCTGCTAAGGTACCTACTCATCGGGCTGACTTAGTTGCGTTAAGTGGTACTGACATGGAAAACTCAGGGGAGCGAACGAATACCAGGAATTGATCGTCTAAATGTCGGCCACAACATGCGCTGAACAAGAGAAAACCTACACAATCGCCTCGGGGATCTTAGTCGAGCACATCCGGATCTACTATCTGTGTCAGCTCAACAAGGCTTTCACAGGAATCAGAAGTGGATACGAGCCACATGGGTGACATACCATTCCCCGGATCCGTGGTCGACTCCTTTTCTCGAACCTGATCAGCACCATCAGGCCTGCCAGTTAAACTGGAGGGAAACGGCCCCTTGTTTGATCACCGCGTGTGAGTGTGCCTTGCACTATCGTGTAACGGGAAGGTAGCTTGTTGCCTCATAGAGTAATAATGGCACATCCGATTAGTGACAGGAGCAGGTTCGGATGAGCTTAATGGCACCAGGAGACAGATGCTTGTTCTTCGTGGTAGGTCCTAGGCCTAGGGATGACCTCCTGTATGATTTAATTGATTCTCAGGTTGTCAGCAAGGTTGCACTAAAGCATAACAACAGTTGGGCTGGACAACCCCCTATGCAGGGTTACTCAATTACAAAGATTCTATAAATCAGTCTTCTAGACAGCAGGTGATCCCTTAGAATCTGACTAACCTCGCACACGGGTATACTCTGCGCCGTACCAACAATTGTGGAATCAGGGTTTCATGATTGGGCATGATTGGGTTCTTCGTATGGGTTGTAAGCTTCTTCTGAAACGGATTACATGCATGAGTAGTGTGTTTGAGCGTTGCATAACTTCCTACACCTAACGATCTCCACCGACTTACCATAATACAATAATGATTCCTATTCCGATTATGAAAGAGAATTTGACGGACAAACTTTCTGGTACAAAACAACGGCGTCCTGATAAGAGCCATGTCCCTGAGTGGACCATCGCACCGCGATCAACTTATCCCAATTGATACTAATGACACGCAACCCCAGTCGGACCAGTCTCAGATTCGACACCAGACTGAATATCCAACCTCAGATCTCAGCACCAAACACTATACGCAAAATGACCGCACCAACAGTCACCACAACAGAAAGGTTAGACTTGGTCATTCCCAAACCCTGAACGACCTCCAACACCCCAGTCCAGTTATATGCCACCAGCATCCGGATGATAGGATACCACCACCAGGGAAATGTTGCACCCAACCAGCAAAATACCCACACGAAACCAACGCACCGCTGCCAGATGGATGTTTCAGCTGAAGTGCCTTTCTTTCCTCGTGACAAAATAGCCCAGTAGTGCTGGACAGCATCCTCAAACATGATGGCACCTGCTTGTGCGACGAAAAACAACATGGCGCCGGTGTTTCCACCTTCAATTCCACTGATCACATTTGTGAATACATGCATCAAGCCGGATAGGATGAAGACGATGGTCAGGTTGAGATAGCGTTCTATCAAGGAGGGCTTGGGAAGACCGAGGATACGGCAGGTGATTGCTGTTGAAACACCAGTGTATGACCAACGGAGATTTTGATGCCAGAATTTGCTGGGTCGTTATATGTCAGCGAGAACTATTTCACTTCGAGACGCAAGGATTATATAAAGGACTAGATGCGAGCTTACCCCCAGAAACCGCGAACAGTATACGTGTCGGCCAGGCTCCCAAACTCCGGGGGCCACGAAGCGATTGTTGTCATTACCGTCGCTACTGATATTAGAGACGCCACCCGGTACATAGAGTCCAGGAAGAGCATCGATCCGGGGAGTCCGAAGAGAAATGCGACTGTGACACGCCCGAGAAGCTGCTTCATGCTAGAACTTGCCATCTCGAATTCGCGGCCGGATCCGTATAGGTATGACCCATCGTAATCCTGCACATCATGGGTAGCTAACGATGAGAGCACGAGAACCAGGGCAAGAACTTCCCAAATGGCAATCGCCAGCTGCCTGCTCATGAAATAGCCTCGGCTGGGTGGTTTTGCTCGAAGCACAAGTGGATGACTGGGAATATTCTTTACCTGCCAGGGCGTGCCAATACCACGGGTAGACTGGAGCAAGGCAAAAGCAGATGCAAATTTCCCCGCAATTGTACCCAATTGCCCTGTCAAGTCGACTCTGACAATCAGAAGCAGGTTTATATGTTGGATAAGTACGGTGAATGGCATGCCACTAAGAGTGACTTTGGCGTAGGTATGGTGGTCGGTCATTTTGATCAGAACGCCTTCGATGTAGGCCATGTATATTATTGAAGGGAGGCATATCCACCGTAAGAACGAGTTCCGAGGCGTTCTGGCAATGAGGGTGACTGTAACAAAGCTTTGGAGTATGGTAACAATGGTGCAAAGGAGGTCCGGTGAGATGGCCATCTTGCTTGGTGATTTGAAGCATCGGATGATGAGACCAATGACGCCGTTTGTGGCCTTGAGACTGCTGCTGACGGAACAAACGTTGACTTCGAAACCAATGCCATTAGAGGGCGCCAAAGGGGCTGGTTATATGAGATCAGGTGAATGCCCATGTAACAGCTGCAGACCTCACACCACTTGCTCGTGCAACGACAGACGAGCATCCATGAGGAAACGGGAGATATCGAAGGAGGTCAACTCTATGAAGACTAACATCTCGAGACGAAATTCCGGATGCGTTATTCGGGGGACGAAAGGCGTAGAGGCTATTTGCCGAACTCAAGATCCATCTAAACAGCCGCAAATCAGTTTATTGTGGTTATAAGAGTAATATGGAACAAATACATTCCCCTCCGTACGGTGTAACAGGCCTGGTGTGGTAGTTGGCAGTGATGTTTTCCCGCAATGTTCCGCAAGATCGGCTTAGCAGAATGGTGGCTTTCCACTGAGAGATAGACACCTAGCCGAAGTATTCTAGGGATTTTTTTTTTTAAAAAAAAAAAAGAAACATGAACCATTGCGCAGCTGCAGATATTACTTGCCAATGTCATCTCCCATCAGGGAGACTTCTTGGTTTGCGGAGAATCACGCCGAGGTTGGAGTATAATAGTACGCTCAGACCAAGTGCCTCCATAGATTTAGCGGGGAAATGTAAGAGCCATGCCAGGCGGGAGTTTGATGAATAGTAGATCCCAAGTGCCGATTGTTCAATCGGCGATTTGTTGCATGTCAAACGCCGGTCCAATGATATACCACTTCCCCAGACAATCCTTCTCGAACCCCTCTCGCTGATCTTCATTCTCCCGCACACCTACCTTCTTCATACCATCTCTCTTCAGCAATCCCCATCATATAGGGATTTTGAAACTAGCAGTCGGACGGAATACATCGCCTATTCATCATCCATCATCGAAACTGCCTGCTGTCACCAACACACCAACTTCAAGACTATAAGACAAGACGCGCAATGGCCACCCAAACAGAAATGGAAGAAACAATCTCACAAGTCATCGATCAGTTTAGCGCAGGTCTTCGTGAACTGAGTCTCAGGGCAAGGAAATGCCCATTCTTCCCACCCTAGATTTTGTACTAACTACAGTCCAGATTCACCAAAACCCAGAGCTGTGCTACGGAGAGCACAAGGCCCACGATGCAATCTGCAACTACCTAAAAGCCTTAGGTTCATATGGTATAACAGTAATCCCCGAAGCGTACGGCCTCGAAACCTCCTTCCTCGCCGAATACGGCGACGGAGACGGAGAAGTAGTCGACTTCTGCGCCGAATACGACGCTCTCCCAGAGATAGGTCACGGATGCGGCCACAACCTCATCGCCATCTCCTCCATCGCCTCATTCCTGGGTGTCGTTGCCGTGATGAAGCAAACCAAGGTTCCAGGAAAAGTGCGTCTTCTAGGGACCCCCGCTGAAGAAGGCGGCGGTGGTAAAATCAAGTTGATCGAAGCGGGCGCCCTGAAGGGCACAACCGCCTCGTTAATGAGCCATCCCACACCCCAATTTCCTCATATGCCTGCGGGCTCTGCGGGTATCGCATTCGGCTCCTGCTTAGCGGCGACTGGGTTCCTAGCTAACTTTATTGGGAAGCCTGCGCACGCGGCTCAGATGCCCTGGGCGGGCGTGAATGCTCTTGATGCGGCAACATTGGCGTATCAGGCTGTTGGTTTACTCAGGCAGCATATCAGGCCTAGTGATCGGATCAACATTATCGTTCCGGAAGGAGGGACGGCTCACAATATAATTCCGGATAAGGCGCAGATTCGAGTAAATGTTCGGTCTGAGACGTTGAAAGAGATGAATTCTCTGCGGGAGCGCGTTGAGCATTGCATGAAAGGAGCGGCATTGGCTACGGGTTGTAAGGTTGATATTGTTCCAGCGTATGAACTAGTCTTCGTATTCTCTATGAAAGATAAATTGAACTAACAGTGAAACAGAATGGACCCATACGCAGATATCCGACCCAACGAGAGCCTCTGTACAGAGTTCACCCGATACATGGGTTCCAAGGGTATGGACTACTACTGCGATCTACAAAAGAAGGATATTGGTGCATTCAGCACAGATATGGGTATGCACACAACAACAACCCCTCCCTTCACTATATAACCAAGCTTCCATTCTCGTTACTAACGAGAAACAAATACAACTATAGGTAACATAAGCTACGAAGTTCCCTCCTTCCACGGCCACTTCTTCATCCCCACACCTCCCGGAACAGCCATGCACACCGAGGCGTTCCGCGATGCAGCAAAGACAGATGAAGCCCACAATATCGCCATGTCAGTGGGCAAGGGTATGGCTGTGGCCGGACTCAAGGTCCTAACTGACGACCGTTTCGCGGCCCAAGTGAAGGATTACTTCGAGAAGGATAAGAAATTGCGATAGCCTCTTCTATTACCTCCTTGCTGGACCTCATGCAGCGAATGTTATATCATCATGATACAATGATGGTAGGTAATTCGCTATACTATGTAGTGGAAGAGCCTTAGCAGAGTAACAACGAAAGTGGACTGTAAATAATGCGATCTACCGAACTCCAATAAGATAGTATCAAATGTATGGTTTCTCTAGTACCAGTCCACTACCAGCGAATAACCCAACCAGTTTATGAAGTACTAAAGAACAAATTTAGCTCTACCATTGACTGGCGAGCTACTAACTAGTTAGTTAATCATCATCGATGACATAGCCTCCTCGTGAATTGGATGATAAATGTCCTCGCTTCGGGCCATCTTCGACCCGAGGGGGGTCTCTCTTCTCGGCGTAGTGATTGTCCCGAGACGCGACTTCGCCGGTGGTTGTCCCGGGGAGGTAATCATGTGTGCAACCATGGGTATGCTATGCAATGGCCTGATGGGATTTGAGCCTAAAGTGGTGTAGATAAGTTAGTGAATTTGCAGATTGGAACTACCGAGGAGTGACTATAGATAGTAGTATTATGATTACGTGGGGTAATGTTTGAGACAAAATTATATGTTGAAGTCTACAGTAACTGCAATGTAACAATTTGTAATCATCGTAAATTCGTATCCTAGTTGTTTTACATGAACCAGTCATGGCTATCTGCGTAGAAGCTAACCCAAGATCCACGAGCTCGTCGCCGAAGCGAGCTCTCCCAATTTTCTCACGATGTCAATTATTAAATTAGAAGAGAGAATCGCCCAGACGGTAGTGGACGGCCTTGATCTGGGTGTAGTTCTCAAGGGCGTACGAGCCGAGCTCGCGGCCAATACCGGACTCCTTGAATCCTCCGAAGGGAACCTGGTAGGAGAGCATGTTGTAGCTGTTGACCCAGACAGTTCTATGTGCTTGTTAGCGAGTGGATTCGATTTATGTAGTAGTGATGGTGACTTACCCAGCACGGAGAGCGTTGGAAACACGGATGGCGGTGGTGACATCCTTGGTGTGGATACCGGCAGCAAGACCTAGGACATAACATTAGCACTTGGCATCGCAGCAATTTGATTCCGGAAGGACTCACCATAAGAAGTGCTGTTGCCGATCTTGATAGCATCCTCAACATCCTTGAATTTCTGAACAGTGACGACGGGGCCGAAGATCTCCTCCTGGTTGATCTTCATGTCGGAGGTGACGTCGGTGAAGACGGTAGGCTGGATGAAGTAACCCTCGGTGCCGTGACGCTCACCACCGACAGCAACGGTAGCACCAGCATCCTTACCGTGCTGGATGTACTCCATGATGCGGTCGAACTGGAGCTTCGAAACCTGGGGACCCTGGAAGGTGTCCTGGGCGAAGGGGTCACCGACCTTGTTCTGCAGAGCACGCTCCTTGAGACGCGCAATGAACTTGTCGTAGATGCCTTCCTGAACCAGGATACGGGAACCAGCGCAGCAGCACTGACCGTGGTTGTAGAAGATACCGAAGTTGGCCCAGGAGATAGCGTTGTCAATGTCGGCATCATTGAAGACAATGTTGGGGGACTTGCCACCCAACTCGAGGGTCACCTTCTTGAGGTTACTCTTGGCGGCGGCCTGGAGGATAGTACGACCAACAAGGGTGGAGCCAGTGAAAGCGACCTTGTCGATGTCCATGTGGTGAGAGATGGCGGAACCGGCAACACGACCGAAACCGGAGATGACGTTAACCACACCGGCGGGGATGCCTGCCTCCTTGACCAGCTTGGCAGCATAGAGACCGGACAGAGGAGTCTGCTCGGCAGTCTTGAGGACAACAGTGTTACCGGTGGCGATGGCAGGACCGATCTTCCAGGACCACATCAGCAAGGGGAAGTTCCAGGGGATGATCTGTCCGCAAACACCGATGGGTTCGTGGCGAGTGTAGTTCAGGGTCTCCGAGTTGGTGTCGATGGTCTGACCATGGATCTTGTCGGCCCAGCCACCATAGTAGCGCAGGCAACCGGCAGCGGCAGCGATATCACCCTTGGCCATGGTGATAGACTTGCCATTGTCCAGGGCTTCGATGGCCACCAGGATCTCGGCATCACGCTCGAAAAGGTCGGCGAGCTTGGTCAGCATGCGGCCACGGGTGGAAGGAGTGACATGGCGCCATTCGCCCTCGAAGGCCTTGCGAGCAGCGGCAACGGCGGTGTCCACATCCTTCTCCGAGGCCTCATAGACGGAGACAATGGGCTTCTCGTTGGCGGGGTTGATGGTCTCGAAAGTCTTGCCATCGGCACCCTTGACGAATTCGCCGTCAATGAACCTGTAAAGTAAACAGTGGTTAACCCTCTACCCAAAGCAATATCGAGGGGATGGAACGCGGGGTGACATACAAGCCCAGAGGCTGTTCATACTTGACGCCGTTAGGGGTCGTGATGGTAGCGTAGAGGTCAGACATGATGAGAGATGGGGAGATGAGATGTGGTTAGAGAAGAAAGAGAGAGGGAAGAGAAGAAGAGAGGAGAGCGGGGGAGGGGAGAACTATCAATTAATAAAGGAGACAGGAAGTTGAGTTACTAGTGGTGGGGTAGGTAGGAGTGGGTGGGGGAGACAGAAAGAGTGAGAGAGAAGTAAGTGGTTGATGGCTGATGGTTGAAGGGAGGGGAAGCTGGCGAGGCGCGAGGGGGGAAACGCCAGCGGAGATCATCCTCGTCCACCGGGTTTAGAACAGACTAGTTAGTCCAGCTGGACTGGTCTAGTCGGATCCATGGGAGGAATTCCGGGTCTCATCCATTGCCATTTACCTCATCTGAATCTCTCCGCGGATAGCCACCCCCTCTTCTGCATGCTCCGATTGGAGAGACCAAGCTCCTTGAGACCGAAAACCCACAGCGAGTTAACCTACGTACTCCCGAGACCCCTATAGTGGCCATCATATTATTTATTATATCGCGGTAAAGCATAATAAGGACCAGGGCAAAGAAGGGAACCTGAAAAAGTCGAGATTTCCACATGCCAGCCCGTTTCTCCACTCTTTATCCAACAATCGCCAGCGATCGTGCGGGGTTTCGTTATCCATGGCTTTTGCTGGTCACCACCACCACCACCACCACCATCCAGGTCCCCCCTTGGTGTCAGCCATTTACTTGGTGGTATGTAGTTATTCATTCTTCAAGAGACCCTGTGGCGTTGGTAGTGGAGGGGATGGTTATCATTAGTAGTCTTGGTTTAACACGGTTACATCTAGTTTCCTCTTACATCATACCGAAGAAGAATGAAGGACCTTTGGCGGACGGGAGAAGAAGAGGCTAGTAGCTAGGCAACCGGTTAGTGAGTTATCAATCATCTCCTTTTTGTAACTCACTAGGGAAATATTACTCACAGCTATGGAGCATTGGAGCAAGCTCTTTTTCGTATTTCCGGAACCCCTCCACCTCGGTGTGAGTGGCGGGGACCAAGTGGGATCTAGTCTCTTGAGCTAGTTTGTTGGACCTGCAAGCTGCAACATTTTAGTCAGCCAGTCAGTACTAACTTAACTAACATCTCGTACTTGGATAGTAAGTAGTTCACGCATTTATTAAACATCCCTGTATAGTCCAATTGGACACTGACCAGTGAGATCTCATAACCTTACTCCTCAAACTCTGAAGGTAAGATGAACAAACAGAAAAAGAGGGGAAATGCGACAAAAAGCTGAGAGATCCCGAGGCATTAGTCTGATTAGTCTCAAGCAAAGTGACCCATCCACTAGTGCCAAGTCACTAGCGGGTTACCGTTGAGGTTTAGCCACAATGACACCTTCGCCTGCTGTTGCTGCGACGGGCGGGAGTTTAGCCCGAGCTGGTAAGGATTCAAACCTGGGGGTGGTCGGCTGATACGCTGGACCGTTTACTACTGGGCAGCGATCTAAGACCTCCTTGCCCGTCTCGGGCGAGTTGTTACAAGTTACAACACCCCTCCCAAGGTACCCCAACGCATATTTCCGCTGCCTATAGACTACGACTTGGGTTGAGTGTTCAGCCCAGAAACTGCTCCCCCACTTATCTCCAACCAACCCTATCCATATTACTACGAAATGTCAATTTATTAGAAACTTTCCGTTGTTCACTCTGACCAAGTCTCTATCTGAAACGGCAAGATCTATGGAGATCCCGCTGCCATGGCAATGCGTGATCTTGTCCTTGTCTAGTGTGCTTTTATCATGATCAAATCACCAAATCCCGGCCCAATCAAGTAGATAGCAACTACGAAAACTGTTCGATAGAATCTTGTCTTCTCTCAAGGGATTGATTAGTTGCATGCAGTCTAGTCTAGTCCTGCAGCTTACACAGTTCATCTCTTATCTCCGGTTCTACTCCGTAGCGCCCGCTTACGTGCCCCTCGTGGGGTTTGCTTTGGCTTGTACCTGCCGGATCCAGCCTCGGCTTTTGCTCTTCTCATACCGATTGCGATCTTTCCCGAAGAAGCGAATCTGGGGAGCTTCGGGTTGATTAATACCGGCGGGAGGTTAAGACTCTTCTCATCTCACCAAACCGCAGCGAATCCCGCCAGTGTGTTTTTGCCTGGCCTTTCCTCTGAATGAAGCTTGATGGGCCTGGCACCGACAACTGCCATAGAAACAACCTCGGGATAGTACTCCTCCGTGGACTTGTTGTTTACTTGCCCTAAATTTATGGGGGGATATCCATTCATTCTGAAGGGCTCTTCTGGTAGGACAGACGTTTTAATGTTCTATACAGGTGCTCATGGCACTGTTGATAATGAAGGAAGTTCTTCTATCATAATATAGAAGACGTCTTTTCGAGGCCTTTGAACGCGCACTGAAAGACATTAGACTGCCGGTTCAATTTGTTGTGAACCCATTCGGTTCACCGGAAGAGACACCGGAAAGAATGCTTAACAGAGCGAAATCCAGGAGCAATTACTACTATCAAGTGACTCATGGATGGTATGTGTTGTTGTGCTGCAATGCAATGCTTCAAAGAACAACAACACCGCGTTATCAGTGCCGATCGGCGGGGTTGGGATACTCTGGAGTCTGGCCACCTCTCCCCGGCATGAAGTCAATGGGTGGCCTGAGTGCATGCAGCCCCCGACCGAATGGTGTCAGTCACTGCTATTAAGGTGTGCAGGTTATTAACTTGATTCTGTTACAGTTCTGCGAATAAGGACAAAGACTTGAAGTAGGACAGCAGCCTGACTCATCCCTGTTACTGGCCTTTGTCACTGCCGACTACGCGCCTATAAGAAGCCCCTAGCTTCACACATCCCCTCTTGCTACTGTGCTGCAACCTGCTGCTCTCTTGATTCGCTTCTGACTGTCGTATATCCATTTCGCTGCTAACGTAAAATGCCAACTTTCTGGCCGTCAATTACCCCAGAGCTTCGAGACTGGGCTTTGCGCCAAAGCGTCTTTTTCGTGGCCTCTGCACCTCTGCAAGGACGACATGTAAATGTGTCGCCCAAAGGATTCCCTGACTCGTCTTTCGCCATTCTTGGTCCTAACGAGGCAGCTTACGTTGATGCCACCGGCTCCGGGAGTGAGACCATCAGCCATGTGCGTGAGAACGGTCGACTTACTATCATGTTCTGCTCATTTGATGCCTCGCCAGGCATCGTGCGCTTCTTCTGCACTGGTTCTGTGATTGAGTACGATGAGCCTGATTTCCCTGGCTACCTCGAGCGGATGGGAGGCAAGAAAGTGGTGGGAGCGCGGGCTATCATCCGTCTGAATGTCTTCAAGGTTCTCTCCCCGACTCCTCTTGGAAGCGCCCTCTGGCTTATTGCCGCGAGCAAGATTCAGTGCTAACAACTGATGCGATGCATGTTATGGGCTACAGGTCCAACGTTCTTGTGGTTATGGTGTCCCGCGATTGTCCCTGCAAGTCGACCCCGAAACCAACAACACCAAGCCGTATCTTCAAGATCGCGATACCCTAGGCCATTGGACAGGCAAAAGAGTCGAGTCCAATGAGCTTCGCACATATCAGAAGGAGTGGAACGTACGAAGTCTGGACGGGCTACCTGGACTACACACTGCGCTAAAGGATAACCATCAGCTTGTCTGGTTGAAGCAGTTGGGCAACTGGACTCGTCGTCACAGAGACGAGATCGAGATGGTCAAAACCTCCATTCTGTTGTTGTTTATTTCTATGGCTATTCTGCAATGGGCAGGATACGTGTAAATGTAGTATGAACTGTGACAGAACTGAAGGGTCTGTTGCTTGTAACCACTTGGAGCTGGCCTGGTGGCGTGACCGCTCATCTAATCCGACATGTGACTTAGACTTTCCTTCCTCTCTGCTGCTTGGACGAGCTTCTTTCAACTGGTCGCTCCCGCATAGTGGTGCATTAATGCGACTTGTTGATCACTATGCCTGCGTAACTCAATTTCACTTAGGTTGTTCATCCTCTTCTCGTGCCGGTCGATCCGACCGTAATGCGGCAGGTAAAAGCAGATCCCCGCATCATCGTCCCAGACAACCGAATGTCCTCGGCATCTCGCTGGAGAGGAGCTCGCACTATCATGTCCTACCTATTCTCTGTTCCATGGGACTGGCTACCTGGGCAATAAACTCTGGAAATACTATCTATATAAACACTTTCCATGACCGGACAGGATACTCTCGCTGTTTCTCGTCTAATATTCAGACCAATTCTAGTTTAGCGGTGAAATTACATATATACTATAATGGCCCAACGATCGGTTCGTATAGCTGGTACGTCAGCCTACTTGAGACGCCCCAAGACTGTTTATTGTTCACTGACCATATTGAATAGGAGCCTCTGGGTCCAACGCTGACCGTCGCCATGCTATCGCTGAGTTCGCTCGCAATTATCCTCAAGATGCAGTCGATGTGATCATTGCTGACTACATGAGCGAGGCGAACATGGTGGCATCAGCGGCTCGTACAGTAGAACAGCAGCAGCGTAAAGCACAAGGCACGCATGGATCCTCGACGATCGAGGCACCAGGCTATGAAGTTGGCTTTCTCCAAGCCCTGGACCCAGCCCTGTCAAACCTGGCAAAATACGGCATCAAAGTGGCGGTGAATGCAGGAAACACGGACACAGAGGGCCTCTACAACGTGGTCAAGCAGATGGTGGAAGCAAAAGGACTGAACCTCAAGGTCGACCTCAAGATGACCTCTGAAGAAGCCATGCTCACATAATTCCAGGTAGCTTGGGTCTCCGGAGACCAAGTCCTGTCCACCGTCAAAGCTGCATTGTCGTCGGGCAAGTCAGCCTTCGCCAATATCTATACCGGCGAATCCCTCTCCGATTGGCCTTTCGAGCCTATATTTGCCCAGTGCTACTTGGGAGGACTCGGAATCGCCGCCGCTCTATCCCAAGGAGCTGATATCGTACTCTGCGGACGAGTCTCCGATGCGTCCCCAGTCATTGGAGCGGCGTACTGGTTCCATGGCTGGAACCGCACTGACCTTGATCAGCTAGCCAACGCATTCGTAGCCGGTCATCTCATTGAATGCAGCAACTATGTCTGCGGCGGCAACTTCACCGGCTTCAAGGCCCTAGAACACATCGGTCCTGACGGCTGGTCCAACATCGGATATCCCATCGCGGAGATCTCCCCGGAGGGTAAAGTAATCATTACCATGCAATCCTACGCGCGCGGAGGCGCCGTCACCATCGACACTTGCTCATCGCAGCTCCTATACGAAATCCAAGGCCCATGGTACTTCAACTCAGACGTAACCGCCATTCTGAACGACATCCACTTCGAGCAAATCAGCCCCAACCGCGTCGCCCTCCACGGGGTCCGCTCCGGACCACCACCCCCAACTACCAAAGTCGGCATCACAGCCCGCGGAGGCTTCCAAGCGGAAGCGATCTACTTCCTCGTAGGCCTCGACATCCCATCCAAGGCACGCATGCTCGAATCCCAAATCCGCCGACTCCTATCACCATATGCCCCAAAATTCACCAGCCTCCAATTCTCAACCCTCGGCTCTGCCCCCGAAAACCCCGACAACCAAGACAGCGCCACCGTCTGCCTCCGCATCGTCGCCCAAGCCCGCCACGCAGAAGACCTCTCCCCAATGCACTTCCTCCGCTCCATCGTCGACACCATTATGCAAGGCTACCCGGGGGCCACTTTCCACCTTGACACCCGCCAGGGCTTCCCTCGTCCCGTCTACGAATACCACGTCACCCTCCTGCCCCAGTCCAACATCAACCATCAAGTCCACCTCCCCTGGCTCCACCAAACCCTCACTATTCCACCCCCTCCAATAACGAAAACGTACCCATCCCGCCAACCCTGCCAATCCCTCACCGACAACCCCACTCTAGACTTCGGCCCCACCATCCGTGGCCCTTTGGGCTGGATCGTCCACGCCCGGTCTGGCGATAAGGGCCCCGACGCGAACTGCGGGTTCTGGGTCCGTCATGCAGACGAGTACCGCTGGTTGCGGTCGTTGTTGTCCGTGTCGGGAATCAGGGAACTCCTGGGAGAGAAGTATACTGCCAATCCGGAGCTGAGGGTTGAGAGGTTCGAGTTGCAGAATTTGAGGGCTGTACACTTTCTGTTTAGAAATCTGTTGGATAGAGGGGTGGGAGTTACTACGACGGTGGACTTTTTGGGGAAGAATGTTGCGGAGTTTCTTAGGGCCAGACATGTCGATTTGCCGGTTAAATTTCTAGAGAGGGGGAAGTTGTAGGTCTTGCCGAGGACTATCGCCTGTTGGTATGTGATGGGTGGAATAGATATGAAGTAGTTGACTAAGAATAGTTCGAATATCACCAGTCAAAGCTTACTAGTACTCCTATTCTAATGTGTCCGAACTGAACTCACTAGTAACATGTGGTATCTCATGACTAGCCCTTCTATATAAAAACCATTATCACTTGACGCCATAAATGCAACAGCTAAATCCACATCTCATACCATGCTGACCTCTTCTCCCCCGACCCCCATTGAATACACCCATCTATCTCCGCCTCGCACTACTAGCCATCGGCTCAAACGCATCACTATCATCCTCAATATCCTCACTCGCCGCTCTCGTCGCCCTCGTCGATCGCCCAGACCCCGCCGTCCCACGCACACTACTCTGCGATCCCACGAAATTCAGCGTCGTCTGGGTTGCTTGCTTGCCCCGAGTTTTTCGCGTAGCTTGTGCCGTTCCTCCAACTGTGTTGGATGATGGTGCTGGGGATGGGGCTTTGCGGCGTTGGCTCGTGCTGGTTGATTTTGTTGTTCTGCGGGATCTAGTGGTGGCTGGTTTGGCGGGTTGTTTGACGAAGAGGGAATCTTCATCGTCGTCGTCGTCGTCCTCATCCTCGTCGATGTTGGGGGCTGCGTTGTCGTCGTCATCGTCATCGTCGAGCATTATGACGTCTTCTTGTTCGTCTTCTTCGTCGGAGGAGACGGGGCGACGTTTGCGGGTCTTGGTAGATGCTGATGATGTGGTGGTTTTCTTGGAAGCTGTAGTAGATGCTGCTTTTGTGGTGGCCGTTTTGCGGGTTGTAGCGGTAGCGGTGGTGGTGGTGGCTCTGCCGCCACGACCTCGGCCGCGGCCGCGTGTGGATGATGTTGTTCGTGATGTGGTGGGTGCTTCGGCGCCATCCTCGCCGGCTACGTCTTCGTTAGGGTCGCCGTCCTCATTGTCGGAGTGGATGAGAGCGCCGGGTTGGTCCTCCCAGACACCGTCGAATTCGGTGTCCCAGCCGTCGGGCTTGGGTTTGAAGCGCTTCTTGCCGCGGGTGCGTTTCTTGATGCCGCGGGAGAACATGTCTTCCATTTGTGTGCGATATCTCTCCATGGCTTTTTGTAGGGAGCTCTCTGCTACTTCTTCTTCTTCTTCCTCTAGATCGTTGTCGCGATCTAGGGCTAGTAGGTGCTTCATTTGGCTTTCGAGAGACTCGTTGACGAACATTTCCAAGGCGTGTTTGTCGTCTTTGTCGATGAATTGGGCGACTGCGTCACCGAAGGAGTTTTGTGGGAGGATGGTGAGAGACTGTGCGGAGAGGAAGTCGCGCACTAATTGTTCGACTTTGACGGTGTCGAGAGTGGAGAGGTGCGAGACTGCTGTCTCGTCGAGGTCGGCTTCTCCCGGTTTGCGCGTGCTGTTGGTGTTTTTCTTCTTGCGGTAGAATTGGACGACGTCGTTCACGTTGGCGACTTTGCCTACGAAGCGGTTGGAGAACCGCTGTGGGTTTTCGCAGTCGTAACTGCCTCCTTCTGGCGTGGATGTTTCGACGCGCAGTCGTACCAGTGGCAGTGGGACTTCTAGCTCTTCGTCTTCTGCTGGTTCGTCTTGCATTTCTAGCCATTCCGTTTTCGCTTCTTCGATGAGTTCTTCGACGATCTCCATGAGAAGGCGGGTTACTTCTGTGCGGTTGTTGTCCTTGCGGGCAAGCTTCTGCGCGCCTTTCTCTTCGGAGAGGATGATCTCGCGCATGGCGAATGGGCGTACGGACTTGAGACGGATGGGCTCGCATTTGAACTCACGGCCTGTGATGCTGAGAATGGCTACGTGTTTGGCCACTGACTCGCCAGGAACCAGGGATGTTGCGACTGATGAGCCGGGCTGCATGACGTGAAACTTAGTCTCGGGGTTCAGTCGCGGGTTGATCAAACATTCGTGTTCGTGGCCCCAGATGACGAGGTCTAGGAATTCGGGGAGGAAATTCTCGGGTAGGTATCCTGTCTCGGTATGTGCGTAATGGTTTTGATGGACGGACATCAAGTTGAACCAGTCGTCTTTTTGAATCGAGGGCTGGTAGAACTTGACCTTGCCGTCTCGGAATGTGCGGAATAGACGTTCATCGCGGACGTTGCTCATACCGTAAAGAGCAAGTTTTGTGCGTCCTTTCTGGAGCAAAACCGGCTTGATCTGGATATTGTCCGATTCGGGGGTCCGTCCATAGTAGTTTATTAACCCAGATACCTGGAGCAGGTCCAATGCAGCCAGATGTCCCTCTCCGGACGGATCATCGTGATTGCCGTGGATTGAGAATATGGGGATAGCCACGTTGATGTCCAGATCCTCGTAGTTTACGTGGTTGAAAGCACCCTGAAAGTTTTCGCTCGCATCACTCAGCATCTCCAATTCGCAAGGCTTATCGCCGAGACAGTTCATGCGAATGGAGCGCATGACTTGGTACATGGACTTGCGCGATGGCTTGTTCTCGTGGAAAAGATCGCCTGCCAGGAGCACCATGTCTACATCTTGCTCCTTGGCCAAACACATCACCTCATGAAAGCTTTTCCAACTGTCATCGCCGCGGATGGGATCCCGTTCATTGTATCCGACATGGTTGTCTGTTGAGACGAGAATGCGGATCGTTTCCGAGTCTGGATGCATCAGCCACGGGCAGTCAGCGGAGGAGAGAAATGATAATTACCATCTAATCTAGGCATCGTGAAGAGAGCAAATACACATAAAATTCAAAGTGATAGAAGAAGAGTAGATGGTTTCGAAAAAAGCAACTTTGGGAAAAGTTGAGGAATCCCAAAAGAGTAATATTACAGGCGACTACTATGTAGCCTGCAGGCTACCGTAGAGGAAAGCTGCCTGGAAACGCAAATGAATCAACGACCGTCAAAATTGAGCCATGAGCATTCCGAGGAATAAAGGCACGTAAGTTAAAAGTGAGGGAGCTGCACTCAATCAAATGGCGATGTATACTACTTGCTGCATGGATGGCGACGAATGCCGGGAAATGAAGCCATTCGCGGGACGGCGCGTGAGCACGTGACCGGCACGCGCGCGGAAGACGGGCGCTGATTGATTCCTCGCCCGGGAGGCAACACTAAGCAAGATTCCCCTCCGTTGATTCTCGTCGGATCGCCGGACTGTCTTCGTCCTCCTTTGCCTGTGACTCTCTTGTCTCTCTCTCCTCCCCCTCTCTGTCCTCCCCTTTTGTCCTTCCTCGTCCCGTCTCGTCCTACCTTCCATCGCATCGTATCGCGCCACAAGTTCTCGCCGTCTTTCTCTCTATCGCCTGTCCTTTTCTGTCCGACTGATCCAGATTTCGTCCCTGGTTCAGTCGCCTCCAACATCCCAGTTACCCCGCGAAACTCTTTTATGCAATCCGAGCCTACTGCAGTTTTCGACCGTTCTCTTTCGGTAGACCCCTCTTTAGACGTGCCCTTCAATTCTACTCAGCATGGAAATGATTCGCATGGTGAAAACCCAGTCTCTGGGCTTCGCCATCAGAAGTCTGGGGACTCCAGTGTCGGTCATGACTCATGCGATGGCGGCCAGCAGTCGCCCTTGAAGGAGGCTGATCCTACGCTGTTCAACGACACAGTCAGTCACTATGAGCATACCGTCGCTCCGTTGATCCAGAAAGAGGAAAGAGTAAAATCTAGGAAGAAGCAGCCGTCCAGCTACTCGGGCTTGTCCCTGGAAGCCTTCCCCAATGGTATGTCATCCCGTTATCTCGGGCTCTGATCGTCATGTTAATGATCTTCCGACAGAGGTTCTGACGCACATCCTGTCGCATCTGCCTCCCCCTTCTCTGTCCTCGATGGCCCTGGTGTCTCGCCATTTTCATGGTCTCGTTACGACACCTCACGCATGGAGAATTGCTTTTTCTCGCTACTTCCCCGGCCCCTACACTGTCGAGGATGGCGCGTGGCTTTCTGCAGCGAAGTCGTCGGAAACGGTGACGTCTGATAAGCGGTATTTCTCCAGGCTGACTGCGCTGGCATCCTGGAGGAGTGAATATATTATGAGAACCCGCTTGCTCCGATCGCTCTCCAGAGGCAAGCCGGCGCAGTTCGAACCGTCCAAGAAAACTGGTACGGTGCGAGCGGCTAGCGTCCGGAATGGCAGCGCCGTAGCCACCTATACCTCACAGCTTCTGTACCCTGTCAACCACTTGCACGGCTCCTTCGGATCGGAAGTCAAGAAGAAGGAACCTCTCTTCATCCATGGCGCTTCGGAGCAAGGCTTCGCGTCAGCTAGTGATCCCGCAACGGTGAAAGTCGGTACATGGGGCCTGTCTGACCACCAATTCTTCCGACACTTTGCAGACCTTTTTCCCGGAGATGCAGAGTATGGACTAGGCTCTGGTGATCATGTTGGAGCTCCTAACCGCATGGATGTTAGTCAGCCCTATGGCATGATCTACGGTGAAGCATGTCCTCAAGGTCGTACATACTTCATCTCAACCACGGAGCAACGCGGGAGGTTCTTGGGTATCGCGGATTCCAGTTCGCAGCCTAGTCTAGGAATCCCCGCGCTCAACTTGATTGCGACCGGTGTTACTGCGGTGTGGATTGCTAAGTCCTCTAACATCCTTAAGATGACCGGCGGTCTGGTCGCGATGCTGTCAGGCTCCTCTACCGGAGTGCTCACATCCTATGCCCTTGGTCCTCACCCTACCTATGAAAAAAGGTACGAGAGGGGCCAAGTGACTGCTAGATGGGTGCTGTGTCCTGGTGTCCCTATCATTTCCATCTCGGTTGATGATAGCTATTCCCCGAAACGTCATACCCGTCGGCGGATCTGGGCGACCGTCCTGAACGCCTTGGGTGAGGTCTTCTACCTCTCTGACCTCCCACAACAGCCTGATGTGCCTACCACCAAGCTGTCTCCTGAGGAATATGAGCAGCTTGCTTGGAAGACGGGCAGAAGTGTTCGTTGGGAGCTTGTTGAGTTAAGCCGACGCATTGCACGGCTTGATCCATTCAGTCGTGATTCGGTCG